AAAGCGTTGATACCCAAGCATCGGTACTTGAGGCTGTTGTCTGATGTTTTCATGCTCACCATGCATGCACATACCTGTGCCCACAGGTGTACCCACACACAGGAATACACAAAAATATGCACATTACAAGAACACCTAGAAAAAATTCTTCTCAACAACCTTTTCAAGCATAAGACAAGACCAAAGCTGGGTAGGAGAGAAACTTGAGACTATAAGCGATTGACAAGATTTACTTGTGCAGATGGGTACAATAGGAGTGAGAAAATGTTCACTGTATTGTCAGTGGAAGGTCTTACCAAGATCGAAAGTCAAGGCTATATAGCAGCACTCATATAGCAGCTCTGGGATTCTACCTAAAAAGATTCAGTGGATGGGAGCAGAATTTGGTTGAGCCACTGTTAGGTTTTGCCAAGTGGATAACACTAAAGGTCAAGGGTTCTAGGTGATCAGAAATACTAACTGAGAGAGTAAGCAGGGGTAAAGTAAGGCCTTCTAATGTGGACTCAATACCAGTCTCCTCCAGGGAAGTTCTAGGCTTTTGGTGCTAGAGTGAGACTGCTGAATTGTCTGACTTCTTAGACTGAGCAGCTACCAGGTTTTCTGACTAACCAGTGTTCAGACAGTCCAGCCCATGTTGTGTAAGCTAATTTAATACCCATACATATATGTATATTTTATTATTTTTATTTTATGTGTATGAGTGTATTGCCTGCACGTATATGACTGCACCCATGTCATGCAATGCCTCAGAGGTCAGAAGAGGGCTTCGGATTCCTTTGGAATTGGAATTAAGGATGGTTCATAGTTGCCATGTGGGTGTTGGGAATCGAACCTGGGTTCTCTGTAAGAGCAGTCAGTGCCCTTAACCGCCGAGCCATCACTCCAGCCCCATTTAATCCCCTTTTATTACACATAATTGTATTATGATGTAAACATACCACACACCATGCACACATTCTATTGGTTCTCTTTCTCTAAAGAACCCTGCCTAATCCAGGTTTTGGTACCAGGAATGGGGTTCAATATAGGAGAGGGCTCTGCAGCAGGTTCAAGCTCTTCCATTTGAGCTGTATGATCTAGCAGACCCGATGGTACTTTAGGTGTAGGTGGCATGGAGGGATGCTGTCAATTTATTATTTTTATTATTGGCAAGCCTTCATAGGTGTATCACAGTGGAGGCCCTTGGGATTTGGAAGTGAGACCTTGCCATCATTTTAGACCACTGTTCTTCCTTTGAAAGGCAGCCCTTGATATGCTCCTGGGTCTTAGAAGAAACTAAATGCCTGACAATGGGGCACCAAATGACCACGAAATCTGAGCTGCCCATCAGGAATTAGGTGTGTTATCTGACCATACAGTTGGATGTTTACAACAATAATCTATCATCAAATGGGAGTGTACATACACGATCAGGCCCCAACAGGTTCTGAAGGAGCAAGTTATATGAAGTTTCCCTAATGCTTATGGTTCCTATTTCTACTACAATATCTCCCAGCATGTACCTGTGGCCTCATGTGGTATATACTATGATCAGTTGACTGATACAAAGATATAGGGACTGGTTTATAGACAGTTCTATATGCTATATAGCCACCACTTGAACGTGGACTACTACAGCATTATAACCCCTTTCTGGGACATCCCTGAAAAACAATAGAAAAGGGAAATCTTTGCAGTAGACGGAACTTTGGTCAGTGCACATGGTTGTGCATGACCAGATGTGTAATTATATACTGATTCATGGAGTGTAACCAATGGTTTTGGCTGTGTGATCAGGGACTTGGAAGGAACATGATTGAAAATTTTGGTGAGAAAATATTTAGGGAAGAGGTGTGTGGTAGACCCCTCCAAAAGGACAAAAGATGTGAAGATTTGTGTCCCATGTAAACACTCACCAAAGGTGACCTCAGCAGAAAACTTGTTCAGGTAGAGAAGCTGGGAAGAGTAATCAACTGCTTGCCATATAAGTGTGAGAACCTGAGTTCAGATCCCTAGCACTCTTGTAAAAAGCCAGGTGCAGACTTGCACATCTGTAGTTCCAGTGCTGGGGACCCCCAGAACTCATGTAAAGGCCAGATGTAGTAGTGTGTCTGTGATCACAGCACTCCTACAATGAGATGGGAAGTGGAGGCAAGAGAATCCTGGGACATCCACAGGCCTAACAGCCTGGTGCACACAGTGGAGAAGAGACCTGTCTCAAAAAAGGGGAGATGAGGACCAAGACCCAAGATTGTTCTCTGACCTCCACATGTATGTTGTAGCACATACCAACTTGCACTTACACACATGAACATATACATACCACACACAAATTTTTAAAAGATAGTTAAAAACTGTGTCATATCAGTCAGCTTTCAGTTATTGTGACAAATATCTGAAATAAATAAACTTAAAAAGAAAATTTTAGGGACTAGAAAGATGACTCAACAGTTAAGAGTACTTGCTGCTCTTGCAGAGGACCCAGGTTCTGTTCCTAGCCCCACATGTCACCTTATGACTTATTAATTCCAGTTCTAGGAGATCTAGTGCCTTTTTCTGGCCTTCTTCTGGTCTCTGTGGGCATGCACGTGGTACACATAAATTCATGCAGACACACACACATACACATAAAAACAACAAATAAATAAATAAACTTTTATTTTGGTTTATTGTGGCTCAGTTGGATGGGTGGGGGAGGTTAGCCCATGACCAACTGACTGTTTTGTGCTGGACCTGTGGCAGCACAGTACATCATGTTGGAGCACATGGCAAAGCAAGTTGCTCACGTAATGTTGGCCAGGAAATAAGGGAATAAGACCAACATTTCACTACTCCCATTGAAGACATGCCCCTGATGACCTAAAGCTGAGGCACCACCTTAAGAAAGTTTCCAGAACTTCCCAATACTGTCAAGCTGAGGATCAAGCTTTTTATTTACTTATTTATTGGTATTTTATGTATATGAGTGTATTGCCTGCATATGTGAAAGAGCACCTGTGTTGTGCAGTGCCTGAGGAGGCCAGAAGGCGTCAAATCTCCTGCAACTGGAGTTACAGACGGTTGTTAGCCACTATGTGAGTGTTGGGAATCAAACCTGGGTCCTCTGCAAGAGTAGCCAATGCTCTTAACTGCTGAGTCATCTCTCCACCCCCACTCCCCACCCCCGCCCCCAGGATCAAGCCTTTAACACATGTGCCTATAGGGTCCGTTCCAGATCCAAATGATAACATCTATGGTGTTATGAATGAATGAATGAATGAATGAATGAATGAATGAATGAATGAATAGCAGTCATGTGGAAGTGTGTGGTGGAAATAAAAGATTCCAGAGCAGACTACTGGGGAATGCGGAGCTATGGCAGACAGGGAAGCATTAGCTATCCGAGACATTTATAAGGGAACGGGAAAGGGAAACAGGAGGTTGAAGTTTGGTAAGCTCTTTAGCATTGAGACTTTAGGACTTAAGCAATTCCTTGGGAGGTTTCCTATGCCCTGCACTCTGATTCTAAAGCTTATGAACCCACTGCATTCCTTTGAAGCATTCACTGCAGGATGGAAGGCACAGAAGTGGTTACTATTTAGTTTTGCATGCACCAAATGCCAAACTGAGAAGTATACCCCAGAAACCAGATAATAGATGCTATCAGGAGCCTACTGTGACAAGTGAATGAACACAGAAAAAGTAATCAAGGGCCTGAGAGATGGCTCAGAGGGTAAAGGTGCTTGATGCCAAGCCTGACAACCTGAGTTCAATCCCAGAGGCCCGCATGAGTGGAAGGAGAAAACCAACTTCCACAGGTTGTCCTCTGACTTCTACAGACATTGCTGTAGCATGCATACACCCTCTCCCTATATACAAATAAATAAATGTAATAAATTATAAAATAAAAAACTTCATATATCTGTTCATTTGGTTTGATAGCATTTTTGTTTTGAGTGTGGGTGTTTGACAGCAATGACTGTATTATGCCTTATTTAAGTTGAGGTCTAACTCATGACAAGTTTTACCTTCACGTCATCAAATGTATGCAGCTATACACATTGCTCTCCTGCCCTCTCTCTCCATCATCCACAGCTCTGTCATGAAAGAAGAATGAGTAGAGAAGGGACTCTTTTAAAAGATAGGATCTTGGGGCTGGAGAGATGGTTCAGCAGTTAAGAGCACTGACTGCCCTTGCAGAGGACCTGGGTTCGATTCCCAGCACCCACATGGTGGCTAACAACCATCCACAGGTTCCAGGGGATCTGAAGCCATCTTCTGACTTCCTTGGGCATTGCATGAGTTGGGTGCACTTACATACATGCAGGCAAATGCATGCATACACATAAAATAATATAAATAAAGTTTCATTTACCCAGTCTGTCCTCACACCTGACATTTATGTAGCTGAAAATGGCTTTGGACTGATGATTCTCCACCTTCCAAGTGCTGAGATTATAGGCATGTGCCACCACACTTGACTTTATGTAGTGCTGGGGAATCAAATCCATGGCTTCATGCATTCTAGGTAAGCACTCTACCAACTGAGCTACATCCCTAGACTCTAAAGGTGTTTTTTTCTTTTAAAATATTTTTTATTTTTATCTTATGTGTATGAGTGTATTGCCTGCATGTATGAAAATGCACCCATGTGCAATGCCCACCAAGGTCAGAAGAAGGCATCCAATCCCCAGAACTAGAGTTAGAGATGGTTGTTAGCTGCCATGTGGGTGCTGGGAATCAAACCCAGGTCCTCTGCAAAAGCAGCCAGTGTGAGCCAACAGGATGATTCTACATATAAATATGTATACTTTTGTGCTGTGGCCTAGCCCTGTGTCCACCCTTGGGATCAGAGGAGGAAAAGTGCATTACCAGCTTCTAGCCCTCCCCTCCCTAAGTCTGCAGTCCCAATATGTGCCAATCAACTGTGGACCTGGCTACCACCACTTCTGCCTTGCCTACAAAGTCTGGTGTTTGCAGTTGACTTATGTTTTCAGAGATACCCACAAGTAAAGCAAATAAAAGCAAATGAACCAGATTCATTCATTTTTAATTTTTATTGAGCAAGCAAGAAGAAGCAGTAAAACTCAACAATTTTGTTAACAAGATTCATCCTTTGCACAGTGCATCAAGCTCTTAGGGAGAGTGGGCATCAGGCAGAGCAAAATAACAGATGCACTCAGAGCTTACATTCCAATGCAGATATCAGACAGTATCAAATTGGACAGATGCTAAAGACAGACAAATCAAGGCACAAAGCATTTTTAAAACCCAGGGTTTAGAAGGCAAGGATCTGACCTATTCTATCGATATATAGAATGGAAGTAAGAAATGACTTACTCCAAGAGTGCTAGTCATGAACTAGGTCAGTGGTTCTCATTGGAATAGACCAGGAAGTGATGGTTGTTGGTTTTGTATCTGAAGATGATGGCCGGCTCTGTGTAGATGCAGCCCAAGGCAGAACACGTGTCCTGCAGTGTGTGGATGGGTCAGTCTCACACACGAGTTGCTCTGCACCTTGTACGATTGTCTAATGTCCTGCTGGACATGGATGGAGGACCTACAGCTTGTCCGAGAGAGTATACCTCATGTGTTTCCTCTGAGACAATTTGTAATTTGTCCTGCCTTATTATCCTTATTTCAGTTAAGGTAATTCCGCCCCTTTCTTTACCATAGACAGATAAGGTCTGATATGGCCTACCCTAACACTACTTCATTCCGTCACCCTTCTTTTATCTTTCACCTTCCTGTATTTCATCTCAGGAAGTTGGCCCTGCTGGACTCTTAAGCCCAAACCTCTTCATAAAAAGTTAACATCTATTTCATGACTTATAGCATAGTCATGTATAAGCACTTACATATGAAAATTCATTGTTTTATTCCAATGTTCTGACCTTCTATGTTTCTATTATAATACAGGTAGGGCACTAAATTACAGGTAGGGCACCCGTATGTGTAGATTCTATTACCTATGAATCATCTCAAGTTGGCAAAGAGGGTGTTATTAAAGAAATCTACTCTCTGAAAAGAGTACACAGGCCTAGTAGGATCTGTGGTTGTCTTAACCACGGGCGGGCGGGGGAAGGGCGCCACTGGCATTTAGCATGTGAGAGCCATGTACGCAAACATTTTGGGGTACGTTGGGCAGTTCCTCACAATAAGAAATTCTTTTGCGCCCTATGCGAATTTTGAATGTCTCACTGGACATTCATATACGACCTACAGCTCGTGTGCAGGAATATATCTCTTCATTTCCTCTGCTTCGACGATCTGAAGGTTCTCTTGTATCTTTATTTCAATGAAGGTTATTTCCTTCTTACCGTGTACTCATACTGTTAACATATGCAAATAGCTGGTTGTACCATTGGCTTTTACTCGAATGTCCACTCGTGTTCCCATGCTTCTCTGAATCCACAATAGCCTCTGATTACTTTCTTTTATGCTCATATTTAATCACTTTAAGTGTAAACAGCTGACGGCTTCATTATGTCTTAGTACTGTAAAGCTGTGCCTGAGTTATGAGCCTTTTTCCCCCTCTTCTGTTAAAATTAATTTTGATTGGTTTTTAATTCATAGAACTATGTGTAGAATACATCACCTCTGAATTGTTCTTTGAAGATTAAATAAAGCATATGTTACAAAAAAAAAAAAAAAAGAGTTGAGAACCACTGAACTAGGTACAAAAGGCACCTGGTACTGAGAGGAGACCAGGATGGTTTGTACGCAGAAAGCAAAACTGGACTTGGAACGACTCAATGTGTAAAGGGATAGGGAAAGGAGCCTGGGAGAACTTCTGGCTTACTGCCTATAGACCTGGGATCCAGGGGTACTGTTTACTGGGAGAGGGACAGGGTCCTTTGAAGGAGGCAGATAGAGTGCTCCATTTTGGACATGTTCAACCAGAGATGCCTGAGAAATAGCCAAGTAGAAGTGTCTAATGGGCAGTCAGATAAATCACACCTCTTGCACCTCTACAGTGTGAAGGTCAAAGTCAGGGAATGAACACTCCAAAATGGAAGCTACCATGAAAAAAAAAGTCAGTGAATGAAAAAAATCATTTGCGGCAAATGCTCCAGAAAAGAATCTTACTCTAAAAAAATCTCTATACACTGTTACTGGTGGAGACCTTTAAAGTGAAGGAAGAGCGAAGCCTTTTGTACCAATCTAAAACCTGACTAATAGAAAAATCAACAGTGATGCTAATTAACTACTAGCATTGCCTGCTGGAAGGAATATAACAGGAAATAGTGGCAACTGGCATAGAATGTTGAAAAAGGAGAACTGGAAGAAAAAACCTGACTCAGATAAGGAAAGAAATAAATGCTCTAAAAGCACATCTGCTATATTTTTAAAACAAAGCCCCTTTGCAGGTACACGGACTGTGTGGGACACTGTTTTCTTTGTGCTGCTTTTGTGGTCAGCAGCAAACCAGTCTTGCCTCCGTAAGAGGCCTGTCCTTCAAACAGGGCTGGCCCTGCTCCAGACAACTTGGTGAACCTCATCTATCACTGCAAGCAAATCCAATAGCAGTCAGGTTTATCAGTCATTCTTGTATGACTCTGGGTATTGCAACTTAATCCTACTAAAATCCAGATGATTTAATGAAAGCCCGACCTGTAAAAAGCTTTCTCTGTGATCATGTTAATTCAAATATAAATGTCACGAGCCTAAATGGGCAATTAACCCCAGATGGTTGCTTTTCTCTGAACTATACTTGATGGCTCTTAGTATTATATTTCAGAGACACAGCATCAATCCCACAGAGTCTGGCTTGTAAGTAAACGCAAAGGTGTACCTCTGATCAATTTCATCGCATGATAATGTATGGTATTGCATACTGTATCCGTGTCTGTCAATAGCATTTACATTGAACTTTTAAACTTTTTTTTTTTTTTTTCCTCAGCAAGTTTTCCTCCCAGGGCTGCAATGTCTTATGTCCTTATTTCGATAGGCATTATTACATTTCTCTCAAATGTCCCAAATTAATCTTCTTTCAATTTAAACAAAACCAAAGCAATGCTACACAGTAAAGACAAAGAATGATGAGAAAGGTCGAAGTTAATTATAGACAATATAGAAATCAGCCCGACCAGTGATGGTAAGACCACACAAACTTTTCAAAACACTCAGGTGAGCTTTAAAAAATAGTGCCACCTGGCTCTGGTCCCCCGAAGGATTGACTTCATCAGGATGGGGTGCAACCTGGAATACAAATTTGGGGGCAGCAACATTTGAGAATTGCTGATTTAAGACATTAGGTAATGCATCAAGGAAATGTGAAAGTATAACTATTATCTGGGGTGACTGATTCCTAGAAGTGAACTGAATGGTTGTGCCATCCTTGATAATGCCTAATGCACCGTTTCTAACTAATTACACAGGCTTTGTCTGTATCTGAGTATTCAATCATGTATGCGGGGTAAATCTGATCTTTCTCAAAGATGACAAAGACCGAGGGATTCAACCTTGTGTCCACACAGCTATCATATAGAGACGGGAGGCTAGTATACATCTTATTTCCTTCGATGAAATCTCCAACCAGGACTCGGGCTACAAACATAACAATGTTTCTGGCATCGTATGGGCAATTTTTATGGGAATAGATGGCTTCTTTTGCAAAGTAAATTCCTAGAAAAAAAAAATCAGAAAAAGAAAAAGGTAGCATTTTTATCAAAGAACGTGGCTCATAGTTATACAAGAGACTCAGATGACAGGGTAGAGTAAACATTTGTCAACAACACCCTACTGACACTATGACACTTAATCCTTATTGTCAATAGAACTGCATTTCCAATTGCCTAGAAGACCTCTAGAAATGTCTTTGATAGGTTTTCCAGAGATGTTCACAGAGATGAGAACACCCACCCTGAATGTGAGTGAACCATCTCAAGGGCTGGGAGACCAGACTGAGTAAAAAAGGAAAAGGGAGCCAGGCATGGTGGCACATGCCTTTAATCCCAGCACTTGGGAGGCAAAGGCAGGCAGATCTCTGTGCGTTCAAGGCCAGCCTGGTCTACATAGTGAGTTCCAGGACAGCTGGGGCTACAGGGAGACCCTGTCTCAAAAAGACCAAAAAAAAAAAGGGAGAAAGACAGGCGAGCACAGCATTCATCTCTGCTTCTGCTTCTGCCTACAACTATAATGTGACCAGCTGCCTCACACTCTTGCTTTTCCCCTCCATGATGGACTGTACCCTTCCAACTGTGACCCAAAATAAATCCATTCCCCCTTAAGTTGCTTCTCGTTGGGTATTTGACCACTGGGACAAGATAACTAACAAATACAGAAAAGTACCAAGAAGTGGGTCTGCTGCTGTCGTCATAAACCTGACCTGTGGTTCACAGACCTAGGAAGTGGTTTATGGGAGGAAGTGGAAGAGTTTGGATCTGTGGGTTAGAGCTGCTCCCAGAGGAAACAAAGACAGGAGGCCTAGGGTAAGTAAGGCCCAGGACTCAAACCCCAAGTCAATGGAGCAATTCAAATGCAGGCATTAAATGGAATTGAGTTTATTTCCTCTCTATATGCTGCTTAGTACAAAGTAATTACCTAAGCGCCCCTCCCCCCCCATCTCCTATCTCTCTGTCTCTGTCTCTCAGATAGGCCCTCACTCTGCACTGTGTAGAAGTGGCTGGCCTGGAACTCACTATGTAGATCACGTTGGCCTCCAACTCATAGAGATTTGCCTGCCTCTGCCTACAAGTGCTGAGATTCTAGGCCTGTACCACCATGCCTGGCTACATGAACATCTTAATAAGTCCATGCACAGAGCTAGAGCTAGTAGTTTTTTCTACTCCAGCACAAACCTTTTCCATATCTGGTTTCACGACTCTCATGTAGGGCACACTCGAAATTATTCTTACAGATATAATCCACATAGGCGTGGCGTGTTGCGTGAAATAGGAGCACCTCCTCTTTATTCCTCATCCGTAGCTTTTTCCTAATATAGAGAAATGTGAGAGTTAATATCAAGAATACTGGACCAGTAAGATGGTTCCGTGCATAAAGACACCTGCTGCCACTGAACCTGATGACCTGAGTTCAATCCCATGGACCCATATGGTGGAGGGAGAGAACCAAACCCTACAAGCTATTCTCTATCTCCAGGTGAGTACCATCACATGTGCATGCCCCCACCCCTGCCTACCACTAAACAAATAAAAAAGAAGTAAAATAAAAAGAATACTTCTCTCTTAGTCTAGTTACTAACATTACCCAAAACAAGGTCTTATCGCCACCTTTGAAAAGCATCCGAGAGCTTTTGATTCCAGATCCTCTTCATCTTTTCAATCTTGAACTGCTTCATTGAAGTTTTAAATTGCTCACTTATTCTGATATATTCCTCATCCTGGCTATTAAGTTCTAGCAACTAAAAAAAAATTAGATATTTAGATGTTAACCAGGAAATACCTAAACATACTACATCCACATGTGTCCCTTCTGTGCTCTGACCATCACTGCCATCCTCAGGTGGGAGAGGCTGGCTTAGGGTGTTTACATCTGGCTCTTGTTTATTCTGGTAACAAACCATAAGGCATGTGCACCTGTCTATCAGGGCAACTTATGGCAAACAAAGAATTACACCCAAGGAAAGCAGAGGTTTCCTGTGGTATGTGACTTAGTCCAGAGACCTGGAAAGATCGTTTCCTAAAGCTCCCAAACCAGCCACTGGCAGAGGAATTGAAGATACCCAGGGAGTCCAACCAGACCAGCTTGCCCAACAGCTTGAGCCAGATGTGAGAGCTAAACAGTCTAGGAACTGTCTTCCCCCAACCAGGGTGACAAAGCAAGGCATGCCGAGCCAGGAGAATGTTAATCTCCAACTTCTAGTTTTCTCATTGATTGTGTTATGGATTTCACAGGGTTGTTGTGAGAATCTGCCCAGATGACACTGCATGTAGCCGAACCCTGAAACGCTGAAATGTCCTAGGAATAGTCATTGTCTGGGAAAAAACTACAATCATACATAGACATCTGCCTTTGAATCTCCATCCAAGTTTTGAAGAAGCAATTCATTGATTCCAATAACAAACCCATGTACTAATTACAAATCCACCTTTACAAGAGTCATCCACCAAACAAGTAAAACCAAATACCTCATATTCATTCGATTGGAAGTTGACACTAATCCTCTGGGAAAGAGAATTCGAGGCCAAAGCCTGTGTATTGGTCACAACTGGTTGATAGCTACAAATAAAGACAAAGGAGAATTCACTTGGCACCTGTTCCATACACTTATGTGACTTTCTATCCTTAACTTCCAGCCAGAAAGCCAGAGCCTCCTAGAGAGACACAGTGTTGATTTCTCTAATTCCTCTGGACTGCATCCAGAAAATTCCTGGTTCCAGTAACTAGCACTTAAAAGAAAAGACAGCAACTATACATAATTTAGTAAATTAAATGCTAAATGCTGTTTTCCTACTGATTTAAAATGCAAAAGCATTGGGTAGGCGAGATGGCTCAGTGGGTAGAGGTGCTTGCATGGAACCCTGTTGACCTAAGTTCAAATCCTAGAATAGAGGAGGGTAAACTTTAAGAGTTTAGAAGAAGCTTATGGGATAAATCAACCAAATGCAATATACAGACATTGTTTCGCTATTACAGGGAATAAATCAGCTATAAGAGGTCGTTTCAAAGAGAATGGGAAAACAGAACATGAAATGGGTGTTAGATGATATTAATGAGGTATTGTCAATTTTGTTAGGTACATTAGTAGCATTGCACAATGCTTAAAAACACCTTACCTGTTAGAGACACTCCTGGAATATTTACAGGGAAATGAAATTTGTAGTAAAATATTCCAGCAAAAGAAAGAAAATGTGAGGTGATGAGGATAGATGAAGCAGGATCAGTCAAGATGAAGCAGGATCAGTCACTGAAGCCAGCCAGGGTGTACATGATATAGCACTGCACAATTCTCTCAACTCATGTTGACATTTGAAATATGCAAAGCAATTGCATCTAAAAGATAAATGCTTTGGAGGGGGGCTATTATAAATCTTGTGTTAAATGAAGACTTTTGGAACAAGAAACATTGGTCCCTCCCCATTTATATTTTAAACTCAGATTTCTATTTTGTTTATATTTGTACTGTGAGGTAGATTGAGAAAATATGTGTTAAGATGCCCATGGAACCTGGGCCTGGTAGTGTCTTCCTTTTATCCCAGATCTCTTGAGTTCAATGGCATAGAAAAATCCCTGTCGTTTTATTTTTATTTTATGTGCATGCGTGCTTTGCTGGCCTGTATGTAAGTGTGCCATGTACATGCCTGGTGCCTACAGATGCCAGAAGAGGGCTTTGGATTCCCTGGAACTGGATTTAAGGATGAGTACTAGCCAGTTAGCTGCCATATGGGTGCTGGGAACCGAACCTGGATCCTTTCGAAGAACAGGAAGTGCTCTTAACTGCTAGGCCATCTCTTCAGCCCCCCAAAACTCTGTCATGACAAAACAAAACACAAAGATGCCCAGTGGGGCTCTCTGTGTTCGGCTATCCCTGGGCTGCTCAGTCGTACTTAGAGCTCATGTTCTAGTCCTCCAACAAGCGTGTTACCTCTGGATGGGAGAGCAGCATCAAAGCTGGCTCTCTGCATTATCCCCCTCTGATAGCCACCCACTTCACTTCCTACATAGTATTCCCAGGCGCCACCATTGATACAAAATATTTCAGTACAATAAGTAGGTAGACTGAGGGAGGGAGGAAGGGTTTTGCTAAGGATGACATTTATACAAATTATCATCACAGTCACACATTGCTTAATGATGGGATACGTTCTGAGAAATGTCTTGTTGGCTGCACACTTCATAGACTGAATTCACACAAACCTAAATGGTATGGTTTACCACAATCCTAAACTATCTGGAATCACCATCACGTGTGTGGTCCATTGACAGAAACACCATGCAGCGTGTGACTTTAGTACAAGGTTACAATAGGATGTTACTGGAAAGTGAAGAACAGAGAGAAGGAGAGTCACAGGTAAGGTTTGCATGGGACAGTGGCATTCCAGTCACTTGGTCACAAAAGATGCTGAATTCATAAGAGTGATGGAAAAGGTGTTGCAAATGGAGGCACTGTGACATATGTAAATTACGGAGCCCAGCAATGAGCTAACTAGAAGACATAGCTTGTAACCAACCAAACTAATTTGTTCTCTTAGAACAAACGTGTACAAAAAAGAACCACTCAGCTTGGAGGCAAGACAGGCTATTTCACTTTGACAGTTTCTGGTGTGCCAAAGGACACACACCAGTGGGGGCCTCTGCGTCCCACTAAATGAGAAAATAAATAAATAGTCAAAAAGTTAAAATTATTGGTACTGCCTTCTTGGTGGTGTTTTGTGGGGATTTTTGTTGTTGTTTGTTTTGTTTATCTCACTATGCAATTTTCACAAGCCTGGAACTTGTTATGTAGACCAGGCTGGCCTCAAACTCACAGAGCTAGACCTGCTTCTGCCTCCTAAGTGCTAGGATTAAAGGTGAGCACCACCACCCTCGGCTGCTTTTTATTTACACATGAAGTTTGGGAGGGCAGGAGAGATGGCTCAGCAGTTAAGAGCACTAACTGCTTTTACAGCAGTCCTGGGTTTGTGTCCCAGAATCCATATGATGGCTAACAACTATCTGTAACTCAGTTCCAGGGGATGCAACACCATCTTTTGGCCTCTATGAGCACTGCATGCATGGTGCATTTACACATATATAGGCAGAACATTCATACACATAAATTAAAATAAATTAATTAAAAACATTAAGTTTTAAAGCCTTAAGGAAATAAAATTGATGGAATTTTTATCAAAATATCTGTACTAGACAGCTTTAGTCTCAGCTTGACACACCTGGGTTGAGGGAGCCGCAATTGCCTCCACTGAACTGGTCTGTGGCTATGTCTGTGGGGCATCTTCTTGATTGTTGAGTGCTGTGGGAGGGCCCAGCCCACTGTGGCTAATGCCACCCCTGGGCAGGTGGGCCTGAGAAGGGACAAGGGAGCAAGCCAGTAAGCAGCGTTCCTCCATGGCCTGTGCTCCAGCTCCTGTTTCCAGGTTCCTGCCCTGAATTCCTACCTTGGGCTCCCTGACGAACTATGATCTGGGAGATGTAAGATAAACTCTTTCCTCCCCAAGTTGGTATTGGTCAGAGTGTTTTATCACAGCAATGGAGAAATAAACTAGAACAACATCCCATCAGTCAGGTTGTGGTACTGCATGCCTTTAGTCCTAGCACTCCGGAGGCAGAGGCAGGCAGATCTCTGTGAGTCTGAGGCCAGCTAGGGTCAACAGTGAGACTCTGTCTCAAAACAAACAAAAACAAAAGCATCCCCTTGAGACCATTCTAATGAATGAGCAGCTACAAAGATCGGGTCTTCTGAATGAGAACTATAGCACCTTCCATGTGCTTTTCTGCATGGTTTCTCCACCTAACATTTGTCAGGAACTGAAATACAGTCATTATTCCCTTAGCGGCAGGGATATAGCCTGAGCCATGTGTCTATCACCTGGCAACCTCACTGCTATGCACACCTATACAAACCAAGCAGGCCTCAATGTCCCTGGGCAATGCCACTGTTCTACTCCCACATATGTGGTTGTCGCTGGTTGCAGCTCCTTATCTCTCATCCACCAGTATGTGAGTTCCACAGGGGCAGGAGCTGAACCCCTCTGCCTTGAATATTTAAAATATGGGAAGAGATCTTAGCAGGATCAATTAAATTTCAATCAGAGAAAATAAGGCAGTTAGTTCAAGGAAGGCCATACCCAAAGAGATCATCAGATCAGCACTCTAAAGCTAAAATTCAGGAGTGCCCTGTTATCTTTGGGCATCTGATCCAAGATACCCAAGGGACATCTGACAGCAGAGAGCATTTAATCTCAGATACACATGTTTTCTTCTTACTCGTATGTATGACAGTGTTTAGTTTATATATTATGCATAAGAGATTAATGACAACAAAACAGAACTATTGAACAATGCCCTATGATAAAAGTTATGTGAATCTGATTCCCTCAATAGCAATCGGTCAGTGTCTTGTTTTACTGCATCATATTTTCAGGCTATAGTCAACAGGAAGTAATCAAAATGCCAGAAAGTGAAACTGTGGGAAAAGAGAGACCATGTTTGCTTTTGTACATATCAGTGCATGTACATATGTACACACTGAGTCCATTACCACCAAGTGAGTAAAAGTAATAACCAGAGGGACTGGAGAGACAGCTCAGCTGTTAAGAGCACTGGCTGCTCTTACAGAGGACCCAGGTTTGGTTCCCAGCATCCACATGGTGACCATCAACCATAACTCCAGTTCCAGGGGATCCAATGCCCTCTTCTGATTTCTGAGGGCATTGCATGCACCAGTGCACTGACATGCAGGCAGAACACTCATACACATAAAATTAAAATAAACAACCCCCCGTCCCAATTTTTTAAAGTAATAATCAGAGAAGTTGTCACCTGACTGATCACCTGATATATTAGCCACCACCTGATGTCTGGAAGGTATGGGTCGGCAGCCATGGGACAGTGCTACCATTAAGTCAGGTTCACAGAAGAGTAGGTGCAATCTCCAAATCCCCATAGCTTATGAGCAGACAGCAAAGTGTGAATTTAGGTGACCTAGAACCAGAGTTGGGTCTCTGACCTGGTCACAGTCAAGGACTCATGCTGCAGGCTGCCAATTGTGCAGTAGAACTAGAGCCAAAATCCCTCCCCAGGCCTGGGCTATCTATCCCTGGGCTCTTTCTGATGCTATCTTCCTTACTGCCTCACCTTAACCCTTTCAGCAGCTTTCTTTTTTCATGAGACACCTAGATTCTAGGACAGCTTGATTTTAACACCTGCCTTGAAACCTGTTTCATATAATCACACATACCCCAAGAGGGAAAAAAAAAAATCCAACTGCAAAGAAGTTCATAAACAATGCAGACTTTACTGAGTTTCACAGCAGGCTGGTGAGTTACAATGAATCCCCCATGGCAAAATTTCCTTGAAAAACCCCCTTTACTGCAAACTGATACAACTGATATGTCAATTAAAACTAAAACCAATTCCTTTATCCACCTTCATCTTCCTCCAAAGCCCTTAATGAGGCCGCTAGCTCAACTCTCTTAGCCTCCTGTACAAATCACACAGCACAACCAAAGACAGAGAGAGGAACCCACAGCAAAACAAAAACCCAGTGTATTTAGTACTTCTTAGGCCCCCTTCCCTTCATCAATATGGCCATCCACACACGGAGCAAATGAGGCCCAGAATATCACAGAGAACTGCCTAAAAGCCCCTGTGAGTTAAGGGGAAATATTGATCTCTCTGTCCAATCTACTCCCCCTCCCACCCGATGCAAGGCCTTCTTGCATCTGCTGCACAAGCTTCAACCAGGGAGCTGCACTCCTTGCCTCCTGGTCTGCGTGGGAGCTTTCAGTCACCCCACATTGCGAACCATCTCCTTAAGCATAACAGAAGCTGCAGTGAAATGCAGGCAGGAACTTCCAAAGAACACACGATTCAGATGCATGACTTGGAGAATCAGGGCCTGAGGAGCTCAGACATGTGCCAGCTAATGGTGCCAGTTAACGGTGCTTCAGGACACTTACTCTGGACCTCTTCTTAGCTGCTCCATATCCTTCAAAGAAATGAACACTGGCCTTCGGATGACATCCCTTTGAGTCTTAGAAGTTACATTTGTCTGAATCATCCCTTTAGACAGAAATAAAACAAAATCAAGACTGGGTCCTAGAATATGATTCATTTTCCAGAGGTTATCTGCACAGCAAATATTTATGACTGAATTGTATAAATACAAAGGGACAGCGTAGTTTTGGATGATAGTTGTTCATGGTAAAAAGCTTGTATCCCTCATGGCCCTTAATAGAAAATTCAGAATGCAAAGTGGTGAATGAACATTGAGGAAATAATCTAATCTTCACATTGAAGAAAATGAAAAAGAAAAGCTAAAACAGCCAGTAAGACATCACTTGTCCAGGGCCTGGGAACACAGCCTAGCAGGCAAAGTGCTTGGCATTCAAGTGTGAAAACATGACTTTGGATTCCCAGAACCCACATAAAAGCCAGACATGATATGCAAGTGTCTGTAATCCCAGCACTCCTACGGGAAGATGGGAAGCAGAGACAGGGCAGTCCCCAGAGGCTCCCAGGTCAGCTAGCTTGGCAGATATAGAAACAATAAGGCCCTGCCTCAAAGAAGGTAGAAAGTGAGGACCAATACTTTGGGTTGTCCTCTGACCTCCACATACACTCACATGGCACACAGACACACAGACACAGACACACAGACACAGACACAGACACACACACACACACACACACACACAAACAGGATAAAAATACTACTCATTTAAGCTGTCCTAAGGGGGATGTAGTGGCTGTATCTAGAAGGCCTTTGTTTTTTTTAAAACATCAAGTGTGAAATGTTATTTTCAACTTATGGATAGTGTAGACCTGACTCAAAAGGTACCTTTTTCAAAGAGAAAATCATTACACATTATTAGAGAGTTCAAAGTGGCACAAGTGCTTTGAAAAAGAGTTTAGCAACTTCTCGTAAAAAAACCTGTTGGCCAGGTGTGGTTGTGCACACCTTTAATGCCAGAACTTGTGAGGCAGAGCCAGGCCTAGGGCTTCTGATCCTCCTCCCTTCACTACATGAGTGTTGGGATTACAGGTATGAACCATCTGGTTTATGCAATGCAAGGCTTCAGCTGAGCTATATCTCCAATCCTCCTTCTTAATTACATTTATTTATTTATTTATTTATTTATTTATTTATTTTGTGCTTGTGTACATGCCACAGCTTTTATGTGGAGGTCAGAGGAGAAGTTGTAGTTCGTTCTCTCCTTCTACCATGTGGGTTCCAGGGGATCAAACTCAGCTCATCAGGCTTGGAGTCACATGCCTTTACCTGCTGAGGCCTTTCACCAGTCCTCACTGACCCTCTCAGATGTGGCCTCCAAGAGGCAATGCACAGTGTCCAAGTTGTGCAGACTCTGAATGAGGCACTTTGGTTTTCCTCTACCCATTACTCCTTTTTTTTTTTTTTTTTTTTTTTTTTTTTTTTTTTCTTGTCTTTTTGAAGCAGGGTCTCCCTGTAGCCTCAGCTGTCCTGGGAACTCACTATGTAGACCAGGTTGGCCTTGAACTAGCAGGCCTGTGCCTGCCTCTGCCTCCCGAGTGCTGGGACTACAGGAGTGCGCCACCACACCTGGCTTTTTTTTAAATATTTTTAATTTGTATTTTATGTATATGAATATATTGCCTGCATGTGAGTAAGTGCATCCATGTCAACTTGCAGAGATCAGAAGAGGTATTAGGTCCCTCGGAACTGGAGTTACGGATGGTTGTTAGCAGTCATGTGGGTGCTGGGAAGCAAACCTGGGTCCTTTGCAAGAACAGCTCACTTAACCACTGAGCCATCTCTCCAGCCCCCATTACTCTTTTAAACTGTGAAACTTGTATAAGACCACCAAAGGCAGAAGTCACTTTTAATTCCATCACTCAGTAGAATAGATTTCCTTTATTGATTCACAAGCACATTGCTGCAATGACTAGGCATGTGAATTTTTCTTTTTGGTCTTTTTGAGACAGGGTCTCCCCGTAGCTCTAGCTGGCTTGGAACTTGCTATATAGACCTGGTTGGTTTCGATCTCTCAGAGATCTGCCTGTCCCTGCCTCCGGAGGGAGTACTAGGATTAAAGGCATGTACCACCACTAGCCTGGCAAGTCAAAAAAAATTTTTTTTAATATTTTATTATTTTTATTTTATGTATATGAGTGTATTGCCTGCATGTATGTGAGTGCACCCATGTCGTGCAATGCCATGGAGATCAGAAGAGGGCTATGGATTCCCCTGGAACTGGAGTTAAGGACGGTTCATAGCCGCCATGTGGGTGCTGGGAATTGAACCCAAGTCCTCTGTAAGAGCAGTCGGTGCTCTTAACAGCTGAGCCATCTCTTAACCCTGGTTTCCTTCTTTTTAAAGCATGGATATGGATCAGTAAGATGGCTCAGTGGGTAAAGGTACTCACTACTAAATCTGACCTCTTCAGTTTGAATCCTGGGACTCATCCTTAACTCCTGTTCTGGGGAAATCCAAAGCTCTCTTCTGATCTTTGCGGGCATTGCACAACACGGGTGCACTTACTTACATGCAAGCATAACACTCATAAACATAAAATAAAAATAATTTTTAAAGATTCAATTTCTAGGGGGAGGTGCAAATAGGGGAGCTTAATACCATCAAATTATATTGTATAATATATTTGTGAATTTGTATTCACAAAATTAAATGAAAATTAAATTAAACAAAAATCAGTTTCTAGGGCTGGAGAGGTTTAGTGATTCAGAGCACTTACTGCTCTTGCAGAGTACTGATATTTGGTTCCCAGCACCCGCATCAGGAGACTGTAACTCTAGCTCCAAGGGATACAACACCTCAGAACTTGCAATTATGTGCACATACCCACACACATATAATTTTTAAAAAAATAGCTGGTTATGGTGGCATGTGCCTTTAATCCCAGTACCCCAGAAGCAGAGGCAGATGGATTTCTGTGAGTTCAAGGCAAGGCAAGCCTGGTCTATATAGTGAGTTCTAGACCAGCTGGGACTCTGTCTCAAAAAACAAAAATAACAAAAAAATACTTTTTAAAAATCATTTTCCATTTTAGATGAAACAAACAACCAGGAAAATAACATAAATTTAGAGTATAACCATTTTCATTTTTATTTGTTTTTTTTTTTCTTTTTCGGTCTTTTTGAGACAGGGTCTCCCTGTAGCCCCAGCAGGCCTGGAACTCACTATGTAGACCAGCCTGACCTCGAACTCACAGAGATCCACCTGCCTCTGCCTCCTGAGTGCTGGGATTAAAGGCGTGCACCACCACGCCCAGCAAGCACAATCACTTTCACTTAGTAATACCCCATTTATTTTTACTACCTAGTTTTCATAATCATAAATTTTAATAACTCCCCCACCCCAATGGTCCACTGATATTTAATACCCTAATTTATTTACTCACTATTCTTCTGGTATACAGGCTATTCCTGTAAATTTTTTAAAATTTATTTTTATTTTTTGTGTATGAGTGTATTGCCTGCATGTGTGTAAGTGCACCTGTGTCATGCAATGCCCATGGAGGTCAGAGGAGGGCGTCGGATTCCCCTGGAACTGGAGTTAAAGACAGTTGTTAGCCGCCATGTGGGTGCTGGGAATCAAATCCAGGTCCTCTGCAAGAGTAGTCAGTGCTCTTAACTGCTGAGCCATCTCACCAGTCCCCTCCTATAAATTTTTAAGTGTTGCAGACAAAGCTTCAATAAAGATCCTCACAGCCTAAATTATTTCCTAAAAAGGATTTCAGAGGAAACAAAAAGTTGGCATATTTCAACATGCCTTGGTGTGAATGCCAGGTTGATTTCCAAAATCACTGGTATAATAAATAGTCCCTAAAAGTTACATTGCTTACTACATAGTAAATGGTGCCAGGACTCCAGCTCAGAGACCCCCTGGGAAGGTCAAGGGCTAGAGAAAGTCTCACTTCTTCAAAGCACCTGTGGGACTGGTCCTCAAAGGGTGAGAATCTGACCACACTCACAAGTGTCCCTGGGGTATGACGGCAAGGGGACAGTATTTTCAGAGGGAAGTTGGTTTCTGCCTGCATTTCTGTTTTACTAAACACAGACAGATTGGTAGAAGCTAAGAGACTTTTCTACAGTGGTTCAGACAAGCATGGTGGAGAGCCAGTTGCTTGAGTGGAGGTAATGGATGCTGAAACCACAGATTGAAGTACATGAAATCAATGGCAAGTTTCTAAAATGTCTATGGGTGCTCAGAGACCCAAGGCTTCCACCGTAGTCACCGACAACTGAACACACAGCTATGCCCCTAGAATCAGAACCTCAGCCTGACAGAGCTACAGTACCCTCTAGAGATTTCTTGTCCAATCCTCTGATTTTCCAAAGGAGGGAAGTGGGCCTAGAGAAGCTGGATGCCCTCCCCAAGGTTGCACAGCAAGTGTCTATTGGAGTCAGGACTCCAGAACACGAATCCGACAGCACCAGCTGCCACTCCACAGGACTGCTCCACCAGCTAAAAAGATCCATGACCCTGGGGCTGGAGAGATGGCCCAGCAGTTAAGAGTACTGGCTGCTCTTGCAGAGGACTGGAGTTCAGTTCCCAGCACCCACATGGTGGCTCACAAGCCTCTAAACTCCCTCATTCTAGTTCTAGGGGACCCAGTGCCCTCTTCTGGCATCCATGGGTACTGTATGCATGTGGCGCACTTCTACACATACAGGTAAAACACTCATATACATAAAATAATTAATAAAAATATTTTTAAAAGACACCTTGGCCCTGGGTGTGGCAATGCACTTGGATTGCTTCCACTCTCGGGTGTGCTCTGGGCTGGATTCCACTGACACACCACATCACCAAACACAAGAACTCACCTTGGAAACTTAGCTCATAGTCCTGAGAACCCACCCGAAATGGCACAACTCCCCTGGGCCAGGACTGGAAGAAAGACTCCAGGTATGAAGAGTCAATGTCGGAACTGGGCTGGCCGATGTTCTATTGAAATAAAAATTTAAGAACACATAGGTGAAGACCTGAGAGTGGGTTAATAGGAAATGTCCACTGTTCTGTCTTACACAGTTTGGTTTTAGTCATGGGATTAGAAGGACATCCTCCCAAGCTGTGAGAACTTCCAGCCGGAAACCACACTACAGTGCTGGTGAGAGAGAGAGAAAGCACTGTCCTATACTCATAGTGAATGCCTGAAAAATGTAACTATAATATTCTTCTTACACCTTACACCTTCTATAATAGCCAAGCCAGTCTGCACCTGCTGTCTTCTAGAATCCAAGACTGGATTCTTGTGTGAAATAGAACATCATGGGCTATTTTAGTTCAGTTTGGAGTTGTATCAAAGGCAAGTCACAAAGATCTTCTGTCCTTCCTCTAAGATCCAATACAGATACTGCTGGTCAAATATAAATGGCCCAGCTCTCTCCTCTGCCCTTACCAAAGTAACTAAAATGATCAAGCCTCCAGCCAGTCAACTACACTAATGACACACTTCAACTTTGCCACCTACTAAGGTTATGATGAAAGGTGTGCAAAGGATTCAAGAAATACAGATCTAGACTCTGGTTTCAAGACATCTATGAAGAATGTTAACATGTGAATGGTGGGTAAAGGAGTGTGTCAAAGTTAAGCCACCATTCTGTGTCCACCCTGTGGCAGGTGAAGGCTGGAATCCCCCACCCCTCATCTACCTGAAGGGTCTCCCAAAATTTAAAGGTTGGATAACACTTATTTCTTAAGAACTAGGAGGAGGGATTAATGACAGTCAAGTCCTGCTAGCTGCCCATGTCGGGGAGGAGCTGAGGATACTTCAACTTTTTGCTAAGGTTCTTGGTTCTCCCCTCCAGAAGGCAAAGGCCTGCCAAAGTCTGTCAGCAGAAGGCACTAGAACAGAGGCACCTGAGGAAGATATCTTGGAGCAGAGTCTAAGTGGTCTTCATGCTGAAGACCAGCAGGAATGGAGAGGGAAAAGCTGTGCTCAAGCATTTGCACACAGTGCAAGGCTGGTGTCAACCTGAATGTGTGCCTGGAGGTGGGGCCAGGACATCAGGTAGAGAGGACTTCAGTAGAACTTTCTAACCTCTGGCATCTAGCAATTAAATCAAACCACAAAGATATTTGATGAGATTGCTGCCAATAGAGATGGTTGGAAAAGATCTCTGCCATGATTGGGTGGTGCCTGGTTGCCGGGGACTCGAACCCACGACCCCTGGCGAGGTGGTGCACTTACATACATGCAGGCAATATGCTCATGTACATAAAATAAAATATATAAAATATTTTTTAAAAAAGAAATCACTTTGATTTGAAGATCTTTCTCCCTCCCTCCTTCTCCCTCTCATCCTCTTTTTTAATTTATTTATTTTATGTGTATGAATGAGTGTGTGGCTTGCATGTAAGTGAACCCATGTCGTGCAATGCCTGTGGAAGACAGAAGAGAGTGCCAGATCCCCTGGAACTGGAGTTATGGGTGGTTGTTAGCCGCCGTGTGGGTTCTGGGATTTGAACCCATGTCTTCTGCAAGAACAACCAGTACTCTTAACCACTGAGCCATCTCTCCAGCCCCCACCCACTTTTTAAAATCCTGTGAATCAAAGGAAGAGATGCTGACACTGAAGGAATGAAGCTTATCGAACTTCTCTTCTACTTTCCTATGTCCCCTCTGTGGGTCAGCCTAGAATCTCCTAGTCCAGTCCTTCAAGTTCATCTGAGTCCAATCTCTGGCTGACCAGATGTGGTTTCCATGCTGCAGCAGCTTAACACATTCTCTGAGTACAATTAGCCATCCCATCATCTCCATCAATCTCCTAATTTGTCTTCTCATTCTCTTTGCTGGCTCAGAGCAGCAGTCTCTGTACATTTGCTACTGATACAAGGAAAGCTAGCTCATTCTCTAGTCCATCCCTATGAATGAGGAAAGAGGGAAATGTGGATGTGTCTCCTAAGTTTCCTGAAAAATAATTAATATATGTTTGTGTTTCTGATTCTTTCTGGAATCTATGCTTTCTGAGCAACACAACACAGTCCTGTATGTAGCCTTTAAACATTTGGTTAGCGTTTCGGTGTTTTGTTTTCCTCCCGCAAGGGGAAATGGTACTCACCTCACCCCCATATTGAATCCATTTGTTAGATTCATTCTTCCAATACCAAAGCCATTTGGTGGTGAAGACAGAGTTCACTGGCTTTGTGACAGATGAAGGAGTAGAGAGGCGCCGGACAGGATTAGAGCCAAAGGTCATCTTCTGGAAATTAATTTCATATATTCCTGTCAAAAAGCTGAGAGAGAAAAGTATAAAAGTAATTAAATACCTCAGTTACCTCAGTTACCTCTGTTTTCTACATTCTAGTCTTGCCTATCAAGAGTCAGAATTAAAATTCTAGGGCTACAATGTATCTTTACGTTTCTTCCTTCCTCCCTTCCTCCCTTCCTTCCTCCCTCCCTTCCTTCCTTCCTTCTTCCTTTCCTTCTCCTTTGTTTTTTTTTTTAATATTTTTTATTTTTAAATTATGTATATATATGTAGGTCTATGTGTGGGTCTGTGCATATGAATGCAAGCACCCATAGATGCCAGAAGAAAGCATTTGATCCCCTGGAACTGGAGTTACAGATGGCTGTTAGCCACCATGTGGGTGCTGGGAACTGAACCCAGGTCCTCTGCAGGAGCAGCCAGTGCTTTTAACTGCTGAGTCATCTCTCCAGACCTCCTTCTTCTTACCTTTAAATGGTAATGGAGAGTGAGCCTAAATTTCTTCCTACAGCTCCAGATCTTATACATAAATGAAAAACTGAAATACAGACAGGTAATTATCTATCCCACATATTTAACTGTTTCTCAAAATATATTCTTTCCCTAAATAAATATCCCCCAATAAAATTACCTACAAACAAGTAATTGGCTCAGTATTAGAAAGTAATTTAGAAACTCACTTTTTAATTAAAAAATATTTACTGTTTATTCAAATAATTTACCTAGTCTGGGAACTCTGAGAGGACAGACAAGGGCAAAGTTACGACAAGGACAAAGTTATTTTCACAATAATATTAAGACACTGTCATCTTCTTTGTTTCATATTTTTATGAGTACATGATAGTTTTCTAGAGGTTACATGATAACCATGATTTCACAGCAGATTTAATTTTTATTTATGTGTGTGTTTGTGTATGTATGTGTCTGTGTGTATATGCCACATGTGTGCAGGTGCCTTTTGTGGTCAGAGAGGACATCAGATCCATGAAGCTAGAGTTGCAGGTGGTTGTGAGCTGCCTGATGTGGGTGCTGGGAACGGAAGTCAGGTCCTCTGCAACAGCAGCAAGCGCTCTTAACCGCTAAGCCTTCTCTCCATTCCCTCACAGCAGATTTCATAAAGAAACAAATATAAAGCTAGGTATCAGGGTGTAAGCCTTCAATCCCAGCATTGGGGGGTAGAGGCAGGTGGCTCTCTGGAAGATCAAGGATAGCTTGGTCTACATAGAAAGTTCCAGGCTAGTTGGGGCTAGAGGGAGACCCTGAATCAAAAATAAAAACAAAAACCAGAAAAGGAGCAAATATGAAAATCCAGTTGTTCTCTATTAAGTCAGACATTAAAGATATTTACACTGCCTCCCCAGTGATATTATTGTTTCTTTAATTTTTTTTTTTTGGTCTTTTTGAGACAGAGTCTCTCTGTAGCCCCAGCTGTCCTGGAACTCACTATGTAGACCAGGCTGGCCTTGAAATCACAGAGATCTGCCTGCCTCTGCCTCCCGAGTACTGGGATTAAAGGCGTGCACCACTCTTTAATTTTTTATTTTGGCAAGGTCTTATGTAGTCCAGGCTGGCCTCAGACTCAATATGCAGCTGAAGATGTCCTTGAACTCCTGATCCTCCTGCCTCTACCTCCCAAATGTGCCACCATGCCCTGTTTAGCTGACCTGGACTTGCTATGTAGTACTGGCTGGCTTCAAATTCACAGAAATCTGCCTCTGCCTCTTAAGTGCTGGTGGGATTACAGGCACAAGTCACCATGCCCAGCATGTTCCCTTTTATTCTTAATTTCATTTTTAAGTGAGTCAACAGTTTTTCTTAGTCTTTTTTTTTTTTTTTAAGGGTTGCATGTAACCCAGGATGGTCTAGAACTTACTATGTGGTCGCAGATGACCTCAAACTCCTGGTCCTCCTGCCTCTAGTCTCCCAAGTGCTGACAGGACTGTGCCACCACACCCAACTAGGTTTTATTTACTTTTTTATTTATCATTATTGTGTGTATATGTGTATGATGTGTGTCCATGATGTGTGTGTATGTGTGTGTGTGTGTGTGTGTGTGTATGCATGGGAGGTCAGAGGACTAACTCTAAGGAGTCAGTTCTCTCCTTCCACTGTGGGTCTTGGGGACTGAGCTCACATCACGTTTTTTTACCTGCTGAGCCATCTCACCAGCCCTGGGCTTTAATTTTAATATGATAAATTAATGCTAGCTATAACTCACATAACTAGACCCTTAATAAATTTCAAGAGTGAAAACATTATTGAGATGAAAGTTTGAGAACTGCTGCACTAAGAATGATCTCTTAGATCTTTAGCTCTTTATACAGAAAGATTTGGACTCCAGGGAACATGTAAACAATATTGGTAATCATAGGTGAAGGGTGTAGAATCAGGAAAACATGTTTACTGGAAGCAAGCACAGGGTCCAAGGATACTGCTGAACATTACCCCACAACAAATAATTTTCTAGTCCCAAATGCCAATAGTTTCAAGGTTAACAAACTAGGTTTACCTAGGGGGAAAAATATGTAGCACCTAGATACCAGAACAGATGGTGCCGCCCTCTAGTGGCAGAATCCAGCAACACAGGACCTCTACCAAAAAGTTTGCTAAATTCTGCACAGGATGAAATGTACATTTCTCTCCTGCACATTGTAGGTGAATGTGGTCCTGTGGTGCTATCACCCATGCCAGCCCTGGAAGAAGCAGAAATATAAACCACCCTCTTAGATGCCTCTAGAATACAGAGAGCAGCACACATAAAGCAGAAAATGCTAAAGCAAGTAAATTTCTGGACTAGAATCACATGGAATTACTCAACTCATATGTGTACACGTGTATATGTGGGCAATACATGTGCATGTGTGCCTGGAGGCCAGAGGTCAACTTCAGGTCCACCATTGTCTTTGGGGTTTGTTTTGTTTTGTTTTGTTGAGATGGGTCTCTCACTGGTCTGGAACTCCCAAAGCAGGCAAGGCTAAGATTTCCCCTATCTTCACTTTCCCAGGGCACACACCACTACACCTGGATTTTTTTTTTAAATTTCCCCTGTGTGTTCTGGGGATTGAACTCAAGCACTTTCCTGACAAAGTTATCTCTCCAGGTCTCAAATAATATTTTTAAATTATGAAATTAAGCCAAAGTCTCATTTGTTCTGAATCATGTAAGGTTTCTTTAAAAATGTGTGTGATATGTATGAGGGGGCTGGAGAAGAGCACTGGCTGATCTTGCAGAGGACCTGGGTTCTGGTTCCCAGCACCCACGTGGCAGCTAACAACTGTCTATAACTCCAGGTCCAGGAGATCCACTGTCCTCTTCTGGCCTCCACAGGCATTGCATACACACGGTGCCCTTACATTCATGCAGACAAAACACCTATACACATAAAATATAAATAAATAAATGTTTTAAGTGAGGGTATATATTTGCAAAGTTGTGTGTGTCTACAAGTGCACTTGTTCATGAGTGTGTGCACATTTGTGTAGAGGGCAGAGGTCAATCTTGGCTGTCATTCTCAGCCACCATCCATCTTGTTTTTCTGAGGCAGGTGTTTTCACTGGCCTGGAGTTCACCATGTAGGCTAGATTGGCTGCCAGCATGCCCAGGGGATCCCTGTCTCCTCCACCCCAGGGCTGGGATTTATAAGCACATGCTACCAAGACCAGCTTTTTTTTTTTTTTTTTTTGTCTTTTTTGAGACAGGGTCTCCTTGTAACCCCAGCTGTCCTGGAACTCACCATGTAGACCAGGCTGGCCTCAAACTCATAAAGATCCGCCTGCCTCTGCCTCCCAAGTGCTGGGATTAAAGATGTACGCCACCACACCTGGCGACCAGTTTTTTTAAAACATGGGTCTAGGGATCAAACTAGTTCCCCATGCTTGTAAGGCAAGCCTTTATTGTCTGAGCTCTCTCCCTAGCCCTCATTTAGGGTTTAAATTTAAAAAACTTTATATATGTATAGGTATGTGTGAGTGTGGGTATACATATGCCACTGTGCACAAGTGGAGGTTGGAGGACAACTTTCAGGAGCTGGTTCTCTCTTCCCCCTTACTGAAGCAGGTTCTCCTGCTATGTGGCTTATTCCAGGCTAGCTGGACATAGGAGTGCTAGCATTACAGATATGGGTTGCCACTTCTGGCTTTTTACATGATTTCCAGGGGGCAAATTCAGGTCGTTGGGCTTTGGGGAGAGTGCTTTTACCCATGCGCCTGTCTCCCTGGCCTCATTTAGTGTTTTTGATAGTGACGGGCTGTTAAGAGTGTGAACTGACCTCCAGCCTGTGTTTTTCTGCTAGACACACCAACTAACCAAGCGATCATACCACTCTCCATTTTACTTCCGTTCCTGGATACTTCTAGCATCTCTAGCATCGGTCATCTCAGGAAGCCATGGGCCTAGCGTGAAGCTTTCCTCTGATGTGTTATGGATCCTGTTAGCCAAAGTACACCAACTTACGTGTCAGTTTGGGGATTACAATAGGCCTGCTCGATGTTCTCCATGTCCTGGAAGTCCACCCAGGTGGATATGAACATCTGCCACCGGTAGGGCAGGTGAAAGTGGATTTTGCTACAGTTGCCTAAAAAGACAGAGATGGGGTTTATAGTCCAACATGGGGGTTTCTAACCACATTAACCAAGTTTACTACTGACTTCCTGTCAAGGCTGGCCTTTCCCACCCTGCCAGGCATTTCCCATGGATCCCTTCACTTCCTTTATTACCCATGGAAACGCATCAGAAAATAAAAACCCCCACTCTGCGCAGACATTTTACCCACATGGAAACCTGAGGTATTTATAAATTTGTGGTTACCCTTTCCATACCCTTCTCTTCCCCCAAATAAATAAAAGATTAAGATAACATGCTCTCCAGCACTGGCAGCCCCTTGTATCTCTTTGAAGCCCTGGCCTAAAAGTCATCTCTTCCAGAATGAATCCCCTACAACTACTCTACCTCCACACTGATCCGACTGGTATTTTGAATTCCCTAAGCTGGTATTGCAAGCCAGTTTGGGCTGGATGTTATGTACTTGCTAATTTTAAGAAGTATTCTCTTTTGTGGATGCACTGGTGCCCCACATTAATTACGGACACTGAAGGAGAAGTTGCATCATTATGTAGCTTATGTCTCCCTTGCACAACTGGCATGGGACTGGATGTCAAAAGATGGCACCAAAATGGATACTTGCTGAAGAAGGAAGTATTATCACCCCAAGGTAACGAAAACAGAAAATGGTTCTCAAATTTTTCATTGTGTTATGTCTAAATCACTTTTGAAATGGTAAAAAGACACCTGGCTACATTAAAGCAGAAAGACAGGGGCTGGAAAGATGATTCAATTAAAAGATGGCTGCTCTTGCAGAGGACCTGGGTTCGATTCCCAGCACCCACATGGTGGCTGACAACTGTCTGTAACTCCAGTTCCAGGGGAGCTGAAGCCCTCTTTTGATCTCCGAGCAGGCATTGCATAACATGGGTACACTTACATACATGCAAGCAATACATTCATACATGTAAAATAAAAATAAAATAAATAAGATATTGTAAAAACAATTTATTTTGAGACAGGATCTCATTAAGTTGCTCAGGCTGGTCTCACACTCACTACATAATCCAGACAGGCCTTGAATTATGACCCTCCTACTTCAGACTTTCAAGTAGCTGGTTTTGCAGGCCTGCCACCATCCTCAGCATATGGCTATGGTAATTAAGAGACATGTTCTTTAGGTATGCAAATTCTGATTTGATTATTTTTCATAAATAATAAAATTTTTTAAATCAGAAAGGGGAAACCCACAGAACAACACTGCTCTAGACATAAATGACTCAGAAGTATGTAACAGGCATTGTAATCTACACCACACCCCCAGTACAATGACTCTTTATCAACAAGAAGAAAGAAAAGATGCTCTGGGAGAGGAGTCAGTTTTTCAGTGTGTAGTCACTGGTGAGCTTCCCATGCACCAGTAAATGACCCCCCTGCCAACCTGTGCTCATGCAAACAACCCTAATTAAACTCAGTGAATCATTTAAAAAACAGACATGAATGGAAGAAGAAGGCTTGTTGGAAAGAAGGGGTTCAGTGGAGAGGGAAGGGGATGAATGAGGGGAATAGGGAGTGAAAATGACCAAAAATTCATTGTATACATGTGTGAAATTGTCAAAGAATTTCAAAAAGAAAGGATGGAGAGAGGACAGAAGACAGAGAGAGAGGAGGGGGTGGGCAGGGGAGGGGAAGGAAAGTACAAAGGACTAATACCATCCAGCCACTGTGGAAAATGTTTTCCACCAAAATTAAAGATAGAATTACAACATGATCTACCAAGTCCATATCGGAACATTTACTCAAAAGAAATGAAACTTCTCAAAAGAAGTTTCGGGTAAATACTGGTGTTCCTGTGCTCACGGCAGCAGTGGCCAAAAGACACCTTACAGAACATGTAACTTACTCAGTTGACAACCCTTGTACAGATGATCTGGGCAGATTTCTTTTGAATCATGATCATCCATCCTAGTAGGTATGGAACTTGTGGTGTAAAACATGGACTCTGTAAAACAAGAGGATGGGGGTGAAGGAAACATGAAGACGTCTGGCCTCACCATGAAACAGTAGTTCCTGACAGCCTAGGCAGCCCCTCCGCAGGGTGAAACATGCACACTAGGGCACCATGAGAAGCATGGTTAGTGAATGATTCCAATTCTCAGATGACTGCTACTGCCATGCAGTGCTGCGGTTGTGCACTCAAGCCAGGGGAGCCTCTGCTGTCCAGTGACTTACCCTGAGCAGAGCCTGGGGTTGTCCTTGCGAGCTCACTGGCTGGGCCGACAGAGGCATGGGCCAAGCTCTTACCAGGGGTCCCAGAGGCTGCAGCTCTGTGGCTTGAGGAAGGTGGAGGTGACTGAGGCAGCCTGCTGACCTGCACAAGGGCAGTGGTCTCCCCAGCTGTGGTCATGACCTGACTTTTCAGACTCTGGCCTCCAGAGCACAATGCATTATTTTCCCCAGTGACTGCTGCTTTTAAGCCAAAGCCACTGGTATTACTTTTAGCACCTTTAGAAGTTTTATCCATAATTTGACTAGAGCCATTTGACTCTATCCATGATTTGACTAGTGCATTATGGATACATTTACCAGCCCGAAGTGTATTCTCTTTGTATTTACCATTCAGAAATGTCAGATCTGGGTCACTGTTGGTGATTCTGCCAGTGGTCTGGAGATCCCAGAGTACAGCTGCACTGCTTTGATGGTTGCTAGGTAAAGCCATTTCTCTTGGACCATTGGCTGTGGCTCTATAATTTAAAGCTGCTGTGGCTGTTCCAGCCACAGTTGCTCCATCAGCATGACCAGTAAAAAGAGGGACATACTGGATGTTTTGACTCTCACTCTTGCCTTTGACATCCATGTGCTGTGAGGAAGGCACACCCTTTCTGATGGTTATGGCTTCAGATATATGTGCAGAATCAAGAGACGAGCTGGTGGGACGTTGACTCAGGGATGAATTGGAATGATTCTTATAAGAGAAGCCATCTGGACCCCCATTCTCTGAAAACTTCTGGCTTTTTCCCATTTGAGTGGATACTCGAAGACCAGCAGCCTTAGAGGAGATGGAGGAAGGCTGAGCACAGTCTTGACTTCCCAGATACTTGATCTTGTTAATGAGGTCATTTATGTCATCTGTCTGCACATCCTCCAGGGGAGCCTCGCAGCTAGCGACATCTGGGCTGGGTGGACCAGACCTCTGAGATGAGGAAGAGGGGAGAAATTCTAGGCTGCTCTGAAGGAAACGGTCTCGACTTTTGCTTCTTCCTCTAGATGCTGCAGCTCTGCGATGGGAATTAGGAGCTGGAAAGAGAACACCAAAGTGAGAAAATTCGAGCTCGTGTCATTGAGTTCCTACTTCTGTTGTCTCCTCTTTGTCTGTCCAGCCTTGTTAGCCCAGTACTATCAAGTGAGCTTTCCTGGCCTGGTGTGTATGAATCTTAGGGTAAAGCTAGAACCAAGGCCAGGATGAATAGCAGCAGTCCATGATCTAAAATGAGAGGGGGACCCAGGGCTCTCTGCTCCTCTCCTGGGACTCACAGGGTCCCCCCACTTCCCAAGTCCCCTAGGTAGAGCTGTTTTCATCTTCTGGTTCTGAGTCAGCTTTCATAGCTTCAATGAATGTACAGCTGGACTGCAGCAAATTAGGGGAAATTTCTACAACCCACTGTTATAATATGAGTGTACCTCACTAAACATGTATAACATTGAAAACAAACAGAAAAAGGACCATAGGCTCTAGCTATGGCTTCGTTTGCACTACAAATTTTCTAGGTTTCTTCCTCTAGCTCCCCCAGCCCCCAGTGCTCAAACTTGCTACCAAAAGTAAAAAGTAAAGCCAAGCATGGTGAATCACACCTGTAACCCCAGTGCTTGGGAGGCCAAGGCGGAAGGATCAGGAGTTCAAGTCCAGTCTTGGCTATATATTAAGTTCTAGACCAGCCTGGGTTACATTGAAAAAACAAAAACTCTAAAGCCAATACTAATTGTTCTGTCCTCCATGGGCTCAAGTATCTGAACTCTAGGTCCCCAGTTGGTGATGCTGTTTGACCAGATCATAGAACCTTAGGAGGCATGGTCACTGAGGGTGGGCTCTGAGTGTTTATAGTTTCACCATACCTGCAGGTTGCTTTCTCTCCTTTGTGTTTTCTATTGAACATGTGAGCTCTCCACCTCCTGCTCCTGGCAGCATGCCTCATATGAGTGCCTATCATGACGAACTCATAACCCTCTGGAACCATAAGTCCAAATACACTCTTCTGTAAGTTGCCTTGGTCATAGTGTTCCATCACAGAAACAGAAAAGTAACTAACATGCAGATAAGCAGTTAGCTTCTCTCTAAATGGGATGTCACAGCTGCCCAGAAGTAAGGAAGGAAAGAGTAAGCAAGTGCGTGTGTGTGTGTGTGTGTGTGTGGCAAGCCCATGTGCTTATGAAGAACAAGTATTTCTTGTCCTACTATAGGGGAAAGGGAACAATAGTAATATAGTAAAAGCAAACATCCTCCTGACAAGATGGCTAACTCAGTAGGTTAACTAGAAGTGACAATAAATACATAACTCTCTCACAGACACAGTGACCTCACATTGGAAAAACCCCAAAATCCACCTCCCTAGACACTCCCAGAGCAGAGCACTACAGTATGGAAGAGACCTGGTGACACGAGAGGTGCAAGCAGTGCTCCACTGGGATGTGAAGCCTGAAAACAGGACCATATCCTTCAGTCTTCTACAAATTCAGTTTTTCTCTGAGGAACAAGGATGAGGTAACTATAAACTATTCCCCAAATATAGGGAGGTGTAATTTTTCACTACTTCACTATAGCATCTTGGAACCATGTATTCTATTTGTGTCATAAAATTCACCTCTTCTGTATCTACTTTTGAAAAAGGAGTGCCAGTGAGATGCCTTAGCAGGTAAAGACATGCATTGTCACACTAAATAAATATAGCTGGGCATGGTGGCACTCGCCTTTACTCCCGGCACTCAAGTTCAAGGCCAGCCTGGTCTACATAGTGAGTTCCAGGACAGCTCCAGCTACAGGGAGACCCCATCTCAAAAAGAAAATTAAGAAAAAAAAAGAAAGAGTACATGAAGTTATCAGAAAAAAGTGATGGGCAGATATGGGAGGAGTTGGAGGGGAGGGAGTGGGCATGGATTTGATCAAATTTTCCATGCTTATATCCCTGTATGAAATTCTCAATAAATTTTTTTAAATATATATAAATGTTTAAGAAGTGGCATCATTTCACATCCCACTGGATGGTCATTAAAAAAAAACTGAAAATAACAAGTGACACAAAGAATGTGGAACAATTTGAAATTTGTATGAAAACATGGCAGAGCTGCTACAGAAAACAGTACAGTGGCTCCATGAAACACTCAACAGAATTAGAAAATGGCCTAGCAATTTGGCTTCTGTCTATACTCCCAAAAGAATCAAAAGCAGGATTTCAAGAGGTGCCATTTTCCACACAACAGCCATATTGTGGAACAAATAAAGGGTCCATCAACTGATGATCGATAAACAAAATAAGGCACAGCTATATGATAGGATATTCCTCAGTCTTAAAAAAGGAAGGGGCTGGAAGATGGCTCAGTTGGTAAAGTGGATGACCTGTGCTTGAGACCCAGAATCCACATAAAAAAACTGGGCATGGCCAGGTGTGGTGGCTCATGTCTTTAATCCTAGCACTCAGGAGGCAGAGGCAGGCAGATTGTAAGTTCTCTGTGAGACTGAGGTCAGCTTGGTCTACACAGCAAGTTCCAGGCCAACTGAGATGCTGTCTCAGGAAAAAAAAGTTAGACCTGGTGGCATGTGCTTGTAAAAATAAAGCTGGGCATGGGGGGGCGGGGAGGAGCAGAATCGGGCAATAGGCAGATCCCTACCAGTCAGCTTAGCCTAATTGTGAGCCCCAGTAAAATGAGAGATGCTGTCTCAAAAAAATAAGGTGGACAGCACCTAAGGAACAGCACCTGTGATGGACTGGGTGGCCTCCACATACATACATGCATCTGCATTACTTGCCCACATACACACAAAAGGAAAGTAATTCTGCCAGATTTTACAACATACATGAACCCTGAAGACCTTGGTGAAATAGTCATAAAAGCACAAATATGATATGATTTCACTTGTATGTGATACCTAGAGTGGTAAAATTTACAGTCAGAGAGGAGACTGCCAGGGAGAAGAGGGCATGGGGGGCTATTCAATGAGAACAGAGGAATTCTGGAAATGGATGGTGGGATTAGCACACAATAGTGTAGATGTACTTAAACATTATGAACCTGCAAACTTTAAAATGGTAAGTTCCAGGGCTGGAGAGATGGTTTAGAGGTTAAGAGCACTGGCTGCTCTTGCAGAGGACCCGGGTTCGATTCCCAGCACCCACATCGTGGCTATGAACCATCCTTGACTCCAGTTCCAGGGGAATCCGAAGCCATCTTCTGACCTCCACGGCATTGCACAACATGGGTGCACTCACATACATGCAGGCAATACACTCATACACATAAAATAAAAATAAGAAATAAAATATTTTTTAAATGGTAAGTTCCCTTTTAAATTTGTGTTTTGTTTTGTGCTGGGAGTACCCAGCATGCCCAGATAATTTTATTTTTTATTTATTTTTTTGGTCTTTTTGAGACAGGGTCTCCCTGTAGCCCCAGCTGTCCTGGAACTCACTATGTAGACCAGGCTGGCCTTGAACTCACAGAGATCCACCTGCCTCTGCCTCCTGAGTGCTGGGATTAAAGGCGTGATCCACCATGCCCAGCACCCACATAATTTTTAAAAGTTTTTTTTTTCTTTTTTTTGCTATGCTAGGGTATGAACACAAGGTCTTGTGCATGTTAGGCAAACCACCTATCATTTAATTGCATACTCAGCCCCGAAATTATATACTTCATGCTTCGATTATTGGACAACAATCTAATTTCTTAAAAATGCAGCACGGGGGACTGGAGAGATGGCTCAGTGGTTAAGAGCATTTACTACTCTTGCACAGGATCAAAGTTCAGTTCCTAGCACCCATGTGGGGCTGCTTACAACAACCTGTATCCTCAGCTCCAGGATACCCAGCACCTTTGGCCTCTACAGGCACCTGCACTCACATGCACATACCCACACAGACACACATGTATATGTAATTTTAAAATAATAAAAAATAAATTAAAAATAATATTTTAGTGTTGCTCTGAAAAGACACATGGTGATAGTCTCGTGAGATATTCTGACTTATCCATACATCAAATGTTTTAATCACAAAAATGTACATGTGCAGTCAGTAAGATGGCTCCCCTGCTAACCTGAGCTCAAGCCTTGTGACCCACACAGTGAAAGAAGAGAAAGAGTTCCTGAAAGCTGCCCACTGATTCCCCCATACCACACAAATAAATAAGTAAATGTAATTTTTAAAAAGTATGTGTGGGCTGATAAGCTAGCTCAGTGGGTAAAGGTCTTGCCTCCAAGCCCAACGACCTGAGTTCAATCCCAGGACCCACATGGTGGAAGGACAGAACTGGCTCCTGCAAGTTGTCCTCTGACTTCCACACACTGTGGTGCATGCACACACACACACACACACACACACACACACACACAAATACAATAAAAAATAAAAAGGTGTGTGTGTATAAGTATGTATATGTACATTCATAAATGTACTCTGCTCTTGCAGAGGACCCGGATTCGATTCCTAGCACCCACATGGCGTCTACGAACCGTCCTTAACTCCAGCTCCAGGGGAATCCGAAGCCCTCTTCTGACCTCTGTGGCATTGCACGACACAGGTGCACTCACATACATGCAGGCAATACACTCATACACATAAAATAGAAATAATAAAATATGAAAAAATAATAATAATGAAAAGAAAGTAATTGGAACAAAATTGGCAACTGGTGAATCTCAAAAACGTTTGTTGCTCTTGGGAAAAAGCAAACTTTTTTTTTTTTTTTTGAGAGAGGTTCTCCCAGTAACCCCAGCTGGTCTGGAACTCACTATGTAGACCAGACTGGCCTTGAACTCGCAGAGATCCGCTCACCTCTGCCTCTGCCTCCCAAGTGCTGGTATTAAAAAGCATGTACCACCAAGCCCAGCTTAAGCAAACTTTTTTAAAAATATTTTTTATTTATTATTTTTTGTGTATGAGTGTACTGCCTGCATGTGAGTGCACCTGTGTCGTGCAATGCCATGGAGGTCAGAAGAGGGTGTTGGATTCCCCTGGAACTGGAGTTAAGGATGGTTCATAGCCACCATGTGGGTGCTAGGAATCGAACCCGGGTCCTCTGCAAGAGCAGTCAGTGCTCTTAACCACTGAACCATCTCTCCAACCCCAAAGCAAACTTTCTTAAATCAGGGGAAATATCAATTTGCAAAATCACATATATGTGATGATTTCAATTGTATTAAAATGGTGTGTACATCAAGGAAAGGTTTAAAAGAGCAAATGAAGGGAGTTTTCTACAGTGAGGTTAAGATTTTTTTTCTTAAATGAAAGTTTTGTGAATTTCATACAATATACTTTGATCATATTTAGATCCCTTCCCCCGTCTGTACCTACCCCTTTACTATCCCAAGGTTGAGCTTTTTAAAAAATTTTATGTGTATGAGTACATTGCCTGCATGTAAGTACATCCATGTCATGCAATGCCCATGGAGGTCAGGAGAGGGCGTTGGATACCTCAGGAAATGGAGCTACAGGTGGTTGTTAGCCACCATGTAGTTGCTGGGAATTAATTGCTGAGCCATCTCTCTAGCCCTGCCAAGTTTGAACTTTTAGGAGATTTCTTTCCTTACAATTTCTGTCATTTTAAAATTCACACAATTAGAAAGGGAAGGTACATACGTCTCGACCCAGGAGGGTTCCTCCGGATGTGCTTGCTGTTGCAGATGTCTTGGATGCTCTGGACCACATCTGGACTCAGGCCATGTTCCTTCATGATGGCCAGCACCTTTCTGTCCATCAAGTTATGGGACCTGAGGCAGTTGAGGTAACTGCAGTTCCCTCGGGTGAAGTGTTCACAGATGTGCAGTCTCTCACAGGGCTGTGGCTCGCTACAGATCTGTTTCCGACCCTCTCCTTTATAACTTTTGCATATCTATAGAAGGGAGAAATAACACAAAGATGAAAACACCTTCTTGTACCTTCCACACATTTGTTAAGGAAAGCTCAAGTGCACGAACATCCCTGAAGCAAGCAGGGCTGTACCAAGAGAGAGAAAGACATGCCTATTCCACAGTCCTTGAGATGAATTCAACTGGTGATTTATCTGAGGTAGGTCTGCAGACTAATTGAAAAATATTGATGCCCAGCAAGGTGGTGTGTTCCTGTAGCCTATCACTCAGGGGACTGAGGCAAGAGGATCACAAGTTCAAGGCAAAACCCTATATGAACAAATCGTTATTTTAAAAAAGAAATATAATAAAGATAGTGATAAATTTAATAATTCCTGGGAGAATCAAAACAAAATGGCCAATTACGTAGAATATGTCATAAAGGAGTCTGAAAAGAAGTCTAGGTTTGGATCCGAATTTACTGTATGGTTCAAAGAACATATGTCTTACCAGAGACTTGGGGAATTTGGCAGGAACTTTCTCAAATGATTACCTTCCCTCCCCGCTCCTCCTTTCCCTTTCCTTTCCCTCCTTCTTTTCTTATTTTGTTTTTATTTGATCTTTATTGGCTTAGTCAGGGTCCAGAGCCTCTGAAACAAGCAGTGTGATGGCTTTCTCATTTTGGTTTTTCTTTTTGCCTTTGCTGAGGATCAAATCCAGAGCCTGCACCATAATAGACAGACAGCCCTACCACTAAGCTACACCCTGAACCCTTGTTTTTGTTTTTGGAGACAGAATCTCATTATGTAGCCCAGGCTAAATTCCAATTCACAGTCCTCCTTCCTTGACCTCCCAAGTGCTAAGATTGCAGGCGTGCACCGCCACAACCAGCTCCATAAGAAAATTGGCTCATTTCTATCTAAACACACATGTATCTGTATCTGTGGCTTTACAGAGATAGAGTTCCTACTGAAGACAGGAACCTTGCTGCTGAGGCCAGGCCATGTGACTGCAGCTCTGGAAAATGCTGGATTAGTCTGAGGTCCCAAAGGCAGCTGGATGACCTCATAGGACCCAGTGACCTCCTAGTTTCTGTTTCCTTTTCTACAGCATAAGGAAAATATTTGTTCTGTCTGCCTGTCTAAACTCCATCGTTAAACAGAGTAAATAATAAATAGAAGACTGCCTTGTGTCAGGCATGGTGGCACATGCCTTTAATCCAAGAACTTGGGAGGCAGAGGCAGGTGGATTTCTGTGAGATCAAGGCCAGCCTGGTCTACATAGCAAGTTGCAGACCAGCTGGGGCTACAGGGAGACCCTGTCTCAAAATACAAACAAGCAAACAAACAAAAAGACTGCATTGTACAAAATATGGAGCCTGAGTCAAGTATTTGAACCATTAAATGTGAAAGCCAATATGTTTAGTAACAAACCTGAACTCCAGATAGTTTCAAAATGAACACATTTGTAAGCTATTTCAATAGACTACAAACCAGGTCTACCTGGTTCCCCTTGATCTGTCTGGCTGCAAAGAGGCTGATTCCAAGAACAGCCACGAGCTATACCGGTAGCCCCTGAAACCAGATTCAAGGACATAACTGTTAAAGTCTCCTGTCCAGATTCAGGACTTTAGACACAGTTTTCAACGAATGGTGTCTGAACCCAGCACTATCAGCACCACCTGGATACTTCTTAAAATGCAAATCTTGGGAGAACTGGGATGTAGCTCAGTCGGTACAGTTCTTGCCTAACATGCATGAGGCCTTGGGTTCAATACCCAGCACCACATACACCAGGGATGGTAGTGCATGCCTGTAATCTGAGTACTTGGGAAGTGGAGGCAGCAGGTTTGTTTGAGGCCAGCCTGGGTTAGACAGGGTCATCTTGACACTGAAAACAAACTTAAAAAACAAAATCCAGGGGTAGAGGGATATAAGTTGGTAGAGTGTGTGCGTAGCATGCACAGAGCCCTGGGTTCAACCTCCAGCACCACACAACCAGGGAATGGTGCTCAGTGTCTGGAATCCCAGCACTCCAGTGGTGGAAGCAGGAGGATCAGGAGTTTAAGGTTATTCCCGGCTATTCAGGGAGTTCAAGCAAGGCCTGATTGGAATGCCAGGCTGTCTTTTTTTTTAAAAAAAAAAAAAGGCAGGGCTGGAGAGATGGCCCAGCAGTTAAGAACACTGGTTGTTCTTGCATAAGACGCAGGTTCCAATCCTAGCACCCATATGGCAGCTAACAACTGTCTGTAACTCCAGTTCCAGGGGATCCGACACCCTCTTCCGATCTCTGCGGACACTGCACAACACAGGTGCATTTACATACCTGCAGGCAATACACACATACACATAAAATAAAAACAACGCAATTTTTTTTTTTAACGGCAAATCCAAGATCTGGGGAGGGGGACACTATTGAGAGGAATGGTACATTATTGTAATACTAGCATTTGGATGACTAAGGCAGGAGGACCAAGAGTGGAAGGATAGCCTGGGCTAGATAGTGAGTTTCAGATGGTCTCAGTTACAAAGAGGATAGCTTTCAGGAGTCGTTCTCTTCCACCGTGTGGGTCCCAGATATTGAACTCAGGATGTCGGGTTTGGTGGCAAGCGCCTTTACTGAGTCAGTCATCTTGACTTAAGTTGTTTATGGTAGGGAGTATGTCTTGTCCATTGCTGCCTTCGGTATTTGACATAGTGCCTGATAATGTACAGGCACTTCTGAATCTTAACTGAATACAAAACAAATGACAAATTCAATGATGCCCAGAAGGGTTTAAACCCTTGTCCAAGGTCACACAGGTAGTAAAAGATGATGAAAGACTGAAAATATTTCCCTGTGGGGAAGGGAGGGCAAAGGGAGAGGAGGGGGAGGGGAGGGGAGGGAAAGGAGAAAATGGACAAGAGAGGGCCAAGCACACAGAATGTTTGGAGCTGTGAGAGAAATAGCATACAGTCCTTCCCAACAACAACTTTATAGAATACCTTACCTTCTTATCTCCCTGGAGCTCAGTGGTCACCTCAAAATGACCTGGCATGCCAAGTTTTTAGGTTCTCAAAAAGGGTTGAACCCTCAAGAAGTCTCCAATCTATCTTGTCATATCTAACGGTACATCTGAATTCCAACCTTCCTTATGTTATCCACTACATACCTTCCACTCACCTGCCTCTTCCATATGGTTCTGTGCCTTTCTTTTCAGGGTCAGGTTAACACTGACACTGTATTGATACACTCAAGGATCCTCCACTCAAGGATTTTCCTCGGTTCAGATATTATACTTTGAGCAACATTGACTGACCCTCAAATCTATGTGGATGAGACGTAATTGTCTACCATTTTCTCATCTTTCTTCTAATTACAGAAGTTCCCAAGTTTTAGGTAGGGTTTAGTTACCCAGCTAGAAACTACATTTCCCAGCCTCCCTTTCAGTTAAGTATGACCATGTGATAAGCACTGGCCAGTGAGATGTGAGCAGATGTTGTTTTTTTTTTTTAAAGGAAACTGCTTGCTTCCTAATTCCTGCCTATAATCCCATTGGCTATAATGAGTGAGAACAGCCTGTACCCAGAAATGGAAGCCACAGCTTGAAGATAACAGAACTGACCTACTAGCCTGAGGCCCTGGATGACAGTATGGGGTCCAGCTTCCTGACCATGCAACCTATCTGCCTGCCCAGGTCCAGGCAAGACCTAGAGCTGGCAAACTTTGCTGTTAAGGGCTGGAGAGTAAATATTTTTGGCTCTTCAGGCCATTTGGTTTCTGTTGCAACTACTCAGCTGATCCTTGAAGGGTGAAAGCAGCCATAGGCAATCTGTAAACAAATAAACATGGCTATGTTCCAATAGATCTTCATTTATGGACAGGTGGTAGGCTGGATTTGGCATCTGGGCTGTAGCCTGCTGACCCTTGATCTAGGCTATCAAGTAGTAAAGAACTAAAAGTATATTTATTGAGTCACTGCATTTGGTGTGATGGGAACTCTGTCACAGCAACTTAGCGTGTTCCTCCATCTTCCTAATCTTTCCAACTTAATTCAAAGGCCACTCTGATGTAAAGCATCTATCAGTCCTACCACTATTATGTTTTCATCTCGTCTTTGCTCACACTAGGATCCCTGACAGCCTAGTGGAGGAGGCATCCAGACTCAAATTCTTACAAAACTTCAAGTAGCATAGTAATTGCTGGAATCTCTTCAGGTCACTCAGTAATAGCTTGCTGCCTGCAGAGCCCTGGTGCTGACCTCAAAGTCTTTCTGCTCCTCCTCCAACATACCCACAACACAGTACTACCCATTACACTCTGCCTGATGTTTAAACTGAGGAGTCATGACTTACCTCGGGCATGAAAAAAGGGTCACTCTGGACTAGGAGCACTGCCAGTTCCTCTTTGTTAAGCCCAGAGAGCTCATGATTCTTCAGGACCTGGAAGTTCTGTTCTGAGAGAACTTCATGAGAATATTTGCATAAGTTCCTGGAAGGAAAGAGGACAACGGTCAGTGTTTCTATTTCACAGAAGAAAAGAAAAAGAAAGCATCCATCCATATAGGACACGAATGTGGAAAGAGGACCAGAAAAGGGGAAGAAATTTTGAATTTTAAAGGAGTGGGAGGGGGAAAAAGAAAGGAAGGTGAAATACGTGCAAAAGCAGATGAGAAAATTTTGGGAGAAGGGACCAGCAAGAGGGCACAGGGGGCACAGGGAAGAGCAATGGGTATAATAGGGTGTATATATGAATATGCTATAGAGAATCCATTACTTTGTATGCTAACCTAAAAAAATGAATTTTAGAAACAAGCAGATTTCAGTGATAGAGAGCTTGCTTAGCAGGTGTGAGGCCCTAAGTTCAATTCTCAGCACTTAAAAAAAAAAGACGGAAAGAAAAAAAAACATTCATAAAATTCTCAGCAAAGATCAATGCTTTAACACAGGTTAATCCTACTTAAAGAACATGATTTAAAAGGCCACCTAAAAGGTCAGCTGGGGCTACAGGGAGATGCTGTCTCAAAAAAAAAAAAAAAAAAACCCAAAACAACAAAAAAGCCATGTATGGTGGTGAATGTCTTTAATTCCAGCACTTGTGAGACAGAGGCAGATGAATCTCTGTGAGTTCAAGGCCAGCCTGATCTACATAGCAAGTTCCAGGCCAGCCCGGCCTATACAATGAGACCTTGCCTAAAAAAGAAAAGAAACAGCTAAATCAGGAGGAGGCATATATTTTCTGTGCAAAATATATTCGCATATACACATATACATAGTATTTGACTTTAATTTTTTCAAGATCACATTTTTAATTTTTTAAAGTTATTTATTTATTAACCACATTCTTAGAAGAAGCATTTCATTACAACAGCATTGACATATTCAATAAAAATTATCTGAGCTAGGATGCATCTCTTACAAAATTGGCTGTATATTTTTAGGTTTACAGTTGAATTATTACAGTTATACAATATTGTACTCAGTATAAACCCTATAAGACATAAAATTAAATGATGTTACAACGTTTAAAAAAGATCTCCACTTCGTTGTCAAAACACACAGTTTCATCCAGAAAAATTCATTCCAAGGCTCTTGACATTGAGACGTTTTCACATGCATTTCATGCATTTCTAATCTCTATATACATGACTATCACTGGTCACAGTCACCCACCTTCTGAGCTCCTCGGCATCTGAGCATGAATACAAACTCCTCAGGTAGACAGCCTTCCTCTCCCACTAGAGCCTCCATACTCTGCTAT